TAGGTTCATTATCCAGATAGAAAATCAACAAAGAAACATTGGAATGGAAGCATACTTTAGAAGAAATGGACTTAAGAGACCTCCAATGAATGTTCTATCCAATATCTGCAAAATACACATTCATCTCATTATTCTGCATTATAGATTATATAATAGTATACAAAAATCTTAGGAAATTTCAGAAGATTCAATTTATACCAACTATCTCTTTTTACTTTGTATGATACTGACAAGAAAATGAAAACATCCACATATGTAGAAACTGAATGACACACTTCTGAATAATCAATGGGTCAAAAATAAATCATAAGAAAGACATTACCTAAAAAAAAAAAAAAGACATTACCTCAAAACAAATGAAATGGAAATGCAACATATTAAACATTTTTAGCACATCATATCAGATCTTATGGGATCTGTTCCTTACAGCAGGAACAGTTCCGAATGGCTATTTAATACCAATAATCACATATTACAAATTAGATATCAAATAAAGTCCTTAATTTTACAGCTTGAACTAGAGAACAAGCCCAAAGTTAACTTGGGAAATAATACAGATCAAAAGATGAGAGCAGAAATAAATTAGAGATCAGAAAAACAATAAAAAGAATCAAGAAAACTAAGAGTGCTTCTTTGAAAATATCACCAAATTGACAAAACTTTACCTAGATGAACAAAGAAGAAAAGACAGACAAATAAAATTAGAAATGAAAGAGGAGATAGTGCAAATGATACTACAGCAATAATACATAGGAGCCTAAGAGACTACTAGGAACAATTACATGCCAGCAAATTCCATAATCTAGAAGAAGTGGATGCATTTCTAGAAACACAATGTACCAAGAGTGAATCAGAAGAAATAGAAAATCTGAACAAATGAGTAAAGAGATTGAATCAGTTATCAACCCACACCAAAAAAGTAGGATCAGATGACTGACTTTACAGATTAATTCTACCAAACATTTAAAGAAACAATATCAATCCTCCACAAGTCTTCCATAATATCAAGGAGGAAGTCATATTTCCAAACTAAATCTGTGAGGCCGCTCTTAACTCTCATACCAAAATCAGACAAGAACACCAAATACCAAAGCTGAAACAGGAAGAAATAGAAAAATTGAACAGACCCATAACTAGCAACAAAACTAAAAGGCAAGCTACAGAATGGGAGAAGATATTTGCAAATGACATAGGGCTAGTATCAGATCTATAAAGAATTTATCGAACTCAACACCCAAAAAACAAATAATCCAGTCAAGAAATGGGCAGAAGACATGAACAGACATTTCTCCAAAGAAGACATACAAATGGCCAACAAGCACATGGAAAAATGGCCCACATCACTCTGCATCAGGGATATACAAACTAAAATCACAATGAGATACCACCTCACACCAGTCAAAATGGCTAAAATTAACAAGTCAGGAGAAGACATGTTGGCAAGGATGCAGAGAAAGGGGAACTCTCTTACACTGTTGACGGGAAAGCAAGATGGTGCAGCCACTCTGGAAAAAAGTGTGGAGTTTCCTCAGAAACTTGAAAATAGAGGTTACCCAATGATCCAGCAATTGCCCTACTAGGTATTTACCCCCCAAAATACAAATATAGTGATCCAAAGGGCCACCTGCATATATATATATATATATACTATATATATATCGGAATATTAGTGGTCAAAAGGATGAAATCTTACCATTTACATTGATGTGGGTGCAACTGGAAGGTATTATGCTGAACGAAATAAGTCAGAGAAAAACAACTATCACATTGTTTCACTCATATGTTAAATATAAGAAATATCACGGAGGATCGATCATAGGGGAAGGGAGGGAAAACTGAATGGAAAGAAATCAGAGGAAGACAAACAGCAGCTTTCAACTATGGGGCACAAACTGAAGGTTGGTGGAAGGGAGGTGGGAGGAGGAGGGATGGGGTAACTGGGTCGTGGACATTAAGGAGGGCACATGATGTGATGAGCACTGGGTGTTATATGAGACTGATGAATAGCTGGACTCTACATCTGAAACTAATGGTATACTATATGTTGGCTAATTTAATTTAAATTAAAAATAACCTTGAAACTAGACCAATATCCCTGATGGAAAATTCTCCACAAAATAGCAGACCAAAATCAAGAGCACATTAACATATTATATACCTGGACCAAGTGGGATTTGCCTCTAGGATGCAAGTTTCACTCAACATGCACAACTCAATAAATGTAAAATACCAATAAAATAAAAGATAATGTACCATGATTATCTCAATAGACACTGAAAAAGCAACTGATAATACACAACATCCTTCCATGCTAAAAACCCTTAATAGATTGAATATACCACAACATAATAAAGACTATTTTGACAAGCCACAGCTAATATCATGGTCAATAGTGAAAGTTTGCAAGCTTCCTCTAAGATCAGGAGTGAGACATGGATACTCACTCTCACCACTTCTCTGGTACTAAGTCCAAGCTAGAGCCATTAGACAAGACAAAGAAATAAAAGGCATCCAAATCAGAAAGTAAGAAATAAAATAGCCAATATTTGCAGATAAAGGATTATATATATATATAGAGAGAAAATCCCAAAGAGTTGATCAAAAAATTGTGGAATCAACTATCAGAGTAAAGTTTCAGGATACAAAATCAATATACAGAAATCCATTTCATTCCTTTACACTAGTAATGAAATATCTGAAAAAGAAATAAAGTATTTAATTCCCAGTAACATCAAAAACAATGAAAAATCTCAGTAAATTTAACCAGGGACGTGAAAGACCTGTACAATGTAAGCTATAAGATTTTGCTAACAGAAATCAAAGAAGACAAAACAAATGGAAGGACGTCTCACACTTGTGGATTGGAAGACTGAATATCATGATGTCCCTACTACCCAAGGCCATCCACTGATGAAATTCAATCCTCATCAAAATACCAAAAGCATTCTTCTAAGAAGTAAGAGAAGTAGTGCTGAAATGTATGTTTCAGGGGTTTAACTCTGTGTGTGTTCCTTTCAATCTATTCATGTTGATGCTACTCATTGTTGAGCTTCATAGATGTGCAAATTAATATTTTTCATCCAATTTGGGAAGATCTTGGTCATAATTTCTTCAAAGATTTTCTTCTGCCCTTTCCTCTCCTGCTTGCACTTATGTTGGTATGCTTGATATTTTCTACAGGTCTCTGAGGCTATGTTCAGTTTTCTTTATTCTTTGTCTTCTTTTCATTGTTTGTATTTCTTTTCTCTATTGATCTGTTTTCATTTGCATGATTCTTCTGCTGGAGCAAACCTTTTTTGAGTGGCTCAACAAATGGGACATATTTTTTACAGTTGTTTTGTTTGCTAAGTCCAAAGTCTGGGGCCATTCAGACACTGTTTTTATTAATTGCTCTTTTTTCCTGCACATGCACCATACTTTCCTGTTTTTTTTTTTTTTTTTTTTTTTGGCATATGGTATTTTATTGTGAAAACTAAATATTTTTAGAATTCTGATCTTGTCCTGGAAGTGGTTGTTCCTCTTTTTTGGTTTATTTTATTTTTAATGTTTTTAGATAGTGGCTCACGAGAACTAATTCTATGGAATCTATCCCCAACCTTATGTACACTCTGATGTCACCACTTAGATTTTTTTTTAATCTTGTGTTATATTTAAGACAAGGCCAAGGTAGCTTATTCATCATTCAATAATAGATCAAGAGATTGTGCTTAAGCCTCTTAAGCAGGTAATTTTTCCAGCTTTTCAGCATCATAGGTTTAGCAAATAATGAAAATTTGCATAACCACAAGTATCAGTTTACTTTCCTCAAGTTATTTGTTTTAGGAAATCACAATTATTCCTTCCTAGGAATTGACAACTTTTGCTTCATGAAATGTGTTATGTTTTAATTTAGAGAACACTGAAAAAGAGGTTTTCTGAATAATTGCAAGGTCAAATTTCTGTCACATTAAACACTTTCCTAACAGTAAAATTTCTCCAAGAAAAGGGACTAAACCCTTCCTTGGATCAAAATTTTATTTAATGAAAGGTGACAATAGGAAAGGTGAAACCACAGATGAACTCTAAAGTTGTCAAGAGTAGTTCTAAATGAGAAAAAAGGGCTACCTTTGCCTGGTGATATGTTTAGAGGAGGACTGAGAGGAGATGTGTTAGAAAGGGCTTGAGTCATGTTCCAAAGCTGTTAGCGTGCATGCCATAACATCAACAAATGCCAAGGAGTGCTGATTTATCTTAGCATATGTGAAGAAACGTTTGCTTTCAAGAACTAATAAAAGAAGAGAAACAGGATCTAAGGTCAAAAATCCAAGTACATATAGAGGGAACTTGAATAAACCTTATAATGTTTATCCTTTATGATCATTCTGTTTGGAAAACAAACTGACAGGCTAGAGTGTGGAACCCCCGAAAAAGAGGACACAAAACTACCTGGGGAGCCAACCCGAGGGCCTATGTCTCACTCTGTGATATAGTGAAATGAAGACTTTCCCAATAGTAACACAATGGAGGGGTTTAATGGCAGCTATTTGGTAACTGGTAGTTAAGTGAGTATTACATTTGTGTCAAGCATATTGTAGAATTTGGGAAAGTGCCTAATCCTTCAAAATAAATAGATTTACTTCCTGAAGATATGTTTATCTCCCCTCAACTTTTCCATTGTTCACACTGCACTTATTCTCCTTCCTATTTCATGAGAAACAACACAAGGATTTAAAGGCACAAATACTCATGCTATTGAAGAAGCAGCAACTCAGTCCATTATACTACTGATCTATGGCCATTAGAGTATCTTGAGTGGGACAGCAAGTACTTTTCAATTATAGCAGAATAGAAGCAGAGACTTTGGACCCTAGTCAGCAGCTCTGAGTAGCACCAAGCTGCTGGAAGCATTATCTTCCATTGTTTACAGTAAATACTTCAGAGCTTTTCCTAGACTATCTGATGATCTACTGGTCAACATCAGCCTAATCCCTCCTCCTTAAGGAGCTATTTGTTCTGGGAACTCTGCTACTTAGTGAGTCATTAAATCTCTTTGTGGAAACCGCAGTTTTCATCTGTGTCTTTCTCCTTCAGTAGTACACAATTATTCTTTTCATTGGCTTTTATATCGGGAGCCCACACTTCACTTCAAAGAACGCTCAAGGTGAGTAGCTTCATTGTAGTTTGGGGATGAAACACTTTCTGCTACTTCCTTCTAGGTTCTTTGCTGGTCTGAGAATAAGAAACGACAAATACCCACCATTTGCTTCCACGTGGATGGAACTGGAGGGTATTATGCTGAGTGAAATAAGTCAGTCAGAGAAGGACAAACATATGGTCTCATTCATTTGGGGAATATTAAAAATAGTGAAAGGGAATAAAGGGGAAAGGAGAAAAAATGAGTGGGAAATATCAGAAAGGGAGACAGAACATGAAAGACTCCTAACTCTGGGAAACGAACTAGGGGTGGTGGAAGGGGAGGTGGGTGGGGGGGTGGGGATGACTGGGTGATGGGCACTGAGGGGGGCACTTGACAGGATGAGCACTGGGTGTTATTGTATATATGTTGGCAAATTGAACACCAATAAAAAATAAATTTATTTTAAAAATAGACAAAAGGGAGACTCACAGAAAAGAAATGTAATTATGTGTGTGGGAGACCCACAACGGCATGAAGAGTCAAAGATAGTCTGACAACTGAGTCTTATATACCATCCTTGTGGGGAAACTAGCTGTGGAGCCTATCTGAGAACTGAATCTTGTAGTCCTGGGCACACTGAGGATGCGTGAGGTCCTGAATTGGCACATTGACTCTTGTCCACATTATTCTACAGATATAAGGTCCTCCACTCCCCCTCCTTGAGTTAATAGCCTATGCTTTTACCTTTTGAAGTAAACATGCTTTTCTCTGCTTCCCCAAATTAATCATTCCTGTAGCCAATCTGCTAGCTCTCTTAATAAAAACTGTAGGAGACAAAGCCTTGGGATCCAAGTCCAGTCTGAGTTTAAGTTCGAGGCTTGGTCCCTCTGTCCTCCCGTATTAAATTTCAATGACACTCCAAATCTTTCTTCATATGGTCACCTCCTCTCTCTTCCTCTAGCCTTCCCTGTCTGGTCCCACACTTTCTTCTCTATCAATTCATATTGATGATTCTAGCTACTTTGCAGCTTTCCTAAATCTCCTTTATAAAGAGAGGCTATCAATCCTGTTTTCTAGTAACAGTGTGACTGTCAAAATATATCCCTGGAGAGAGGAGGGGCAAGACGGCGGAAGAGTAGGGTCCCCAAATCACCTGTCCCCACCAAATTACCTAGATAACCTTCAAATTATCCTGAAAATCTACGAATTCGGCCTGAGATTTAAAGAGAGAATAGCTGGAATGCTACAGTGAGAAGAGTTCGCGCTTCTATCGAGGTAGGAAGACGGGGGGAGGGGGGGGATAAAGACACAAAAGGCCTCCGAGGGGGAGGGGCCCCGCGAGGAGCCGGGCTAAGGCTGGGGCGAGTGCCCCCAGGACAGGAGAGCCCCGTCCGGAGAAGCAGGAGCTGCACCAACCTTCCCGGGCAGAAAGGCCTCGCAGGGAGTTAGAGCAGGACCCAGGAGGGCGGGGATGTCCTCGGGCTCCCTGGGACGCTAACAGACACCTGCGTGCCCAGGAGAGTGCGCCGAGCTCCCTAAGGGCTGCAGCGCGCACCACGGGACCCAGAGCAGCTCGGAGGGGCTCGGGGGAGGCTCCGCGGAGGGGGCTGCGGGGCGGGAGCGCGAATCCCACAGCGCAGGCCCCGGCCTCCCCCGGGACAGGCAGAGGCCGGGAGGGCCCAGGACAGCAAGGACGCTCCTGCCCCGAGCTGAGCAGATCAGCGGCCCTGCCCCGTAGCCTCCAGGCCCTGCAGACAGAGAGCTCTGGAGTTCCTGCAGGGGCTGACTCCAGGGCTCCAGAGCTGTCCGTGGCCTCTGCGGTTGTTCCTCCCTGGGTCCCACGGGGTAAACAACCCCCGCTGAGCCCTGCAGCAGGCAGGGGCAGAGCAGCTCCCCCAAGTGCTAACACCTGAAAATCAGCACAACATGCCCCTCCCCCAGAAGACCAGTTAGACGGACAAGTTCCAGGGGAAGTCAAGGGACTTAAAGTATACAGAATCAGAAGATACTCCCCCGTGGTTTTTTCTTTTCTTTTTTTTTTTTTTCTTTTTGATTTCTGTCTGCTTCCCCCACCCTTTTCCCCCCTTTCTTTCTTTTTCTTTCTCTTTTTCTTCTCTTTTTTTCTTTTTTCTTCCTTTTTTCTTTTTTCTTTTTCTCTTTTCTTTCCTTCTTTCTCTCTCTTTTTCTCCTTTTCCCAATACAACTTGTTTTTGGCCACTGCACTGAGCAAAATGACTAGAAGGAAAACCTCACCTCAAGAGAAAGAATCAGAAACAGTCCTCTCTCCCACAGAGTTACAAAATCTAGATTACAATTCAATGTCAGAAAGCCAATTCAGAAGCACTATTATACAGCTACTGGTAGCTCTAGAAAAAAGCATAAAGGACTCAAGAGACTTCATGACTGCAGAATTTAGATCCAATCAGGCAGAAATTAAAAATCAATTGAATGAGATGCAATCCAAACTAGAAGTCCTAACGACGAGGGTTAATGAGGTGGAAGAATGAGTGAGTGACATAGAAGACAAGTTGATGGCAAAGCGGGAAACTGAGGAAAAAAGAGACAAACAATTAAAAGACCATGAGGATAGATTAAGGGAAATAAACAACAGCCTGAGGAAGAAAAACCTACATTTAACTGGGTTTCCCGAGGGCGCCGAAAGGGACAAAGGGCCAGAATATGTATTTGAACAAATCATAGCTGAAAACTTTCCTAATCTGGGAAAGGAAACAGGCATTCAGATCCAGGAAATAGAGAGATCCCCCCCTAAAATCAATAAAAACCGTTCAACACCTCAACATCTAATAGTGAAGCTTGCAAATTCCAAAGATAAAGAGAAGATCCTTAAAGCAGCAAGAGACAAGAAGTCCCTGATTTTCATGGGGAGGAATATCAGGGTAACAGCAGACCTCTCCACAGAGACCTGGCAGGCCAGAAAGGGCTGGCAGGGTATATTCAGGGTCCTAAATGAGAAGAACATGCAACCAAGAATACTTTATCCAGCAAGGCTCTCATTCAAAATGGAAGGAGAGATAAAGAGCTTCCAAGACAGGCAGGAACTGAAAGAATATGTGACCTTCAAACCAGCTCTGCAAGAAATTTTAAGGGGGACTCTTAAAACTCCCCTTTAAGAAGAAGTTCAGTGGAACAATCCACAAAAACAAGGACTGAATAGATATCATGATGACACTAAACTCATATCTTTCGATAGTAACTCTGAACGTGAACCGGCTTAATGACCCCATCAAAAGGCGCAGGGTTTCAGACTGGATAAAAAAGCAGGACCCATCTATTTGCTGTCTACAAGAGACTCATTTTAGACAGAAGGACACCTACAACCTGAAAATAAAAGGTTGGAGAACCATTTACCATTCAAATGGTCCTCAAAAGAAAGCAAGGGTAGCCATCCTTATATCAGATAAACTAAAATTTACCCCGAAGACTGTAGTGAGAGATGAAGAGGGACACTATATCATACTTAAAGGATCTATCCAACAAGAGGACTTAACAATCCTCAATATATATGCCCCAAATGTGGGAGCTGCCAAATATTTAAATCAATTAATAACCAAAGTGAAGAAATACTTAGATAATAATAACAGCAAATGGATTACAACAGCAAATGGAAATTTGCTTAGATAATAACAGCAAATGGATCCTACACCCAACAGAAGAAGAGAGTTAATTAAGATTTGAGCAGAACTCAACAAAATCGAGACCAGAAGAACTGTGGAACAGATCAACAGAACCAGGAGTTGGTTCTTTGAAAGAATTAATAAGGTAGATAAACCATTAGCCAGCCTTATTAAAAAGAAGAGAGAGAAGACTCAAATTAATAAAATCATGAATGAGAAAGGAGAGATCACTACCAACACCAAGGAAATACAAACGATTTTAAAAACATATTATGAACAGCTCTACGCCAATTAATTAGGCAATCTAGAAGAAATGGACGCATTCCTGGAAAGCCACAAACTACCAAAACTGGAACAGGAAGAAATAGAAAACCTGAACAGGCCAACAACCAGGGAGGAAATTGAAGAAGTCATCAAAAACCTCCCAAGACACAAAAGTCCAGGGCCAGATGGCTTCCCAGGGGAATTCTATCAAACGTTTAAAGAAGAAACCATACCTATTCTACTAAAGCTGTTTGGAAAGATAGAAAGAGATGGAGTACTTCCAAACTCATTCTATGAGGCCAGCATCACCTTAATTCTAAAACCAGACAAAGACCCCACCAAAAAGGAGAATTACAGACCAATATCCCTGATGAACATGGATGCAAAAATTCTCATCAAGATACTAGCCAATAGGATCCAACAATACATTAAAAAAATTATTCACCATGACCAAGTAGGATTTATCCCCGGGACACAAGGCTGGTTCAACATTCGTAAAACAATCAGTGTGATTCATCATATCAGCAAGAGAAAAACCAAGAACCATATGATCCTCTCATTAGATGCAGAGAAAGCATTTGACAAAATACAGCATCCATTCCTGATCAAAACTCTTCAGAGTGTAGGGATAGAGGGAACATTCCTCAACATCTTAAAAGCCATCTACGAAAAGCCCACAGCAAATATCATTCTCAATGGGGAAGCACTGGGAGCCTTTCCCCTAAGATCAGGAACAAGACAGGGATGTCCACTCTCACCACTGCTATTCAACATAGTACTGGAAGTCCTAGCCTCAGCAATCAGACAACAAAAAGACATTAAAGGCATTCAAATTGGCAAAGAAGAAGTCAAACTCTCCCTCTTCACCGATGACATGATACTCTACATAGAAAACCCAAAAGCCTCCACCCCAAGATTGCTAGAACTCATACAGCAATTTGGTAGCGTGGCAGGATACAAAATCAATGCCCAGAAATCAGTGGCATTTCTATACACTAATAATGAGACTGAAGAAAGAGAAATTAAGGAGTCAATCCCATTTACAATTGCACCGAAAAGCATAAGATACCTAGGGATAAACCTAACCAAAGAGGTAAAGGATCTATACCCTAAAAACTATAGAACACTTCTGAAAGAAATTGAGGAAGACACAAAGAGATGGAAAAATATTCCATGCTCGTGGATTGGCAGAATTAATATTGTGAAAAGGTCAATGTTACCCAGGGCAATTTACACGTTTAATGCAATCCCTATCAAAATACCATGGACTTTCTTCAGAGAGTTAGAACAAATTATTTTAAGATTTGTGTGGAATCAGAAAAGACCCCGAATAGCCAGGGGAATTTTAAAAAAGAAAACCATATCTGGGGGCATCACAATGCCAGATTTCAGGTTGTACTACAAAGCTGTGGTCATCAAGACAGTGTGGTACTGGCACAAAAACAGACACATAGATCAATGGAACAGAATAGAGAACCCAGAAGTGGACCCTCAACTTTATGGTCAACTAATATTCGATAAAGGAGGAAAGACTATCCACTGGAAGAAAGACAGTCTCTTCAATAAATGGTGCTGGGAAAATTGGACATCCACATGCAGAAGAATGAAACTAGACCACTCTCTTGCACCATACACAAAGATAAACTCAAAATGGATGAAAGATCTAAATGTGAGGCAAGAGTCCATCAAAATCCTAGAGGAGAACACAGGCAACACACTTTTTGAACTTGGCCACAGTAACTTCTTGCAAGATACATCCACGAAAGCAAAAGAAACAAAAGCAAAAATGAACTATTGGGACTTCATCAAGATAAGAAGCTTTTGCACAGCAAAGGATACAGTCAACAAAACTAAAAGACAACCTACAGAATGGGAGAAGATATTTGCAAATGACGTATCAGATAAAGGGCTGGTTTCCAAGATCTATAAAGAACTTATTAAACTCAACACCAAAGAAACAAATAATCCAATCATGAAATGGGTAAAATATATGAAGAGAAATCTCACAGAGGAAGACATAGACATGGCCAACATGCACATGAGAAAATGCTCTGCATCACTTGCCATCAGGGAAATACAAATCAAAACCACAATGAGATACCACCTCACACCAGTGAGAATGGGGAAAATTAATAAGGCAGGAAACAACAAATGTTGGAGAGGATGTGGAGAAAAGGGAACCCTCTTACACTGTTGGTGGGAATGTGAACTGGTGCAGCCACTCTGGAAAACTGTGTGGGTTCCTCAAAGAGTTAAAAATAGACCTGCCCTACGACCCATCAATTGCACTGTCGGGATTTACCCCAAAGATTCAGATGCAATGAAACACCGGGACACCTGCACCCCGATGTTTCTAGCAGCCATGTCCACAATAGCCAAACTGTGGAAGGAGCTTCGGTGTCCATCGAAAGATGAATGGATAAAGAAGCTGTGGTTTATGTATACAATGGAATATTCCTCAGCCATTAGAAACGACAAATACCCACCATTTGCTTCAACGTGGATGGAACTGGAGGGTATTATGCTGAATGAAGTAAGTCAATCGGAGAAGGACAAACAGTGTATGTTCTCATTCATTTGGGGAATATAAACAATAGTGAAAGGGAATATTAGGGAAGGGAGAAGAAATGTGTGGGAAATATCAGAAAGGGACACAGAACATAAAGACTCCTAACTCTGGGAAACGAACTAGGGGTGGTGGAAGGGGAGGAGGGCGGGGGGTGGGGGGGAATGGGTGACGGGCACTGAGGGGGGCACTTGACGGGATGAGCACTGGGTGTTATTCTGTATGTTGGCAAATTGAACACCAATAAAAAATAAATTTATTTAAATATATATATATATATATATATATATATATATATATATATATCCCTGGCTCCATGGCACATCCTGAGGAAAGGAGAAGGGGGTAATATGCTTCAGAAATCAAAAAGGAGAAGGGCAATTCACAGGAAGTTGAGAAAGCACATATTTGATAAGCAGATGTGTTCCATGCCATCAAAGTGTCTTGCTACTAGAAAAAGCTATATGTGGTAGTAACTCTATTCCTGGTACAGGCTCCCTATCCAAATTCTTTTAGGCAGAAGCTAAAAAGCTGTTCTGAGTCTGTTGGGTCTTAATTGCTTTCAGCTAAAACAATCCACATGTCAAATTGGTACTTTAGGGGTGACATACTCTCCGCTTCCTTTCTCTTGACTGCACTGTACTAATTATGCAGGTTTAGGTGTTTGGTAGTTTTCTAAACATTAGACTAAATATATGTAAGCTATCAGCCCTTCTATATGACAGAAGACTATAGTGTACTACTTTTGCTTTGATTTTCAATGAACTGATCCATTATGTGATTCCAAATATTTATGTAGAGATTTAAGAACATATACTAAAAGAAAGATATAATTCACTGTGGTGAGAGTAATTATACTTAGATCTAATATAAGTAGAATATAAGATGGTAGAATTACATTTACTTCATGAAAAGATCAAGATGTTATAGGCTCATCATTATTGTTTGGATCCCAAGACATGGAATTGGCTACTGTTCGGGAGTCACTGCTTCTTCATAGTGGACATTAATATTAGAGCCCAATGGGTATGGAGTTGAAAAGTAGCTGGTTTCTCTGAACACTAAGGATGGCAAGGATGAGAAACCTTAAATAACTCTAGTGACAGGATAACTCATCTTCTTCTCTCTCTTCCTCTAGCCTTCCCTGTCTGGTCCCCCACTTTCTCCTCTGTCAATTCATGTTGATGATTCCAACTACTTTGCAGCTTTCCTAAATCTTCTTTGTAAAGAGAGGCTATCGATCCTCTGTTTTCTAGTAACAGTGTGACTGTCAAAATATATTTCAAATATTTCTTATTTCCCTTTGTCTTCTCATGATGACCCTTGGCCCAGGTGTCCTGGAATTGCTTTCAAGTTGTGTGATTCTGAAACTGTTGTTTTGTTAACTGTTCCAGTGACTGACTACTTTGGAAAATAGGAAAAAAGGACACTTCAGAGTCATCTGGAAGAACCCTAAGTCAACTATCACCTCAGAGTTTATAGTATCAAGAGATTATTTTCCATATGGCTAGTGAGAGATAATAATGAAAGGCAAAATATATACATGAATGATGACTCATGAGGCTCGGTTTGCACTATGTATCAACCATTATTTGAATGTTTTCTCTAAGACTTTCACTTTGTGCTATTGTTCATCTAGTCATTATGGAAATTTAATTGTTCACATTGCAATTTATTAGCTTCCTGGAATACAGTCATGTGTGTTAATTCTTCTACATGTTACAAGTTAAGAAATAAAACGAAATTTAAGTTAAAAGTTACCAAAGAGGGATCCCTGGGTGGCACAGCGGTTTAGCGCCTGCCTTTGGCCCAGGGCGCGATCCTGGAGACCCAGGATCGAATCCCACGTCGGGCTCCCGGTGCATGGAGCCTGCTTCTCCCTCTGCCTGTGTCTCTGCCTCTCTCTCTCTCATTCTATGTGACTATCATCAATAAATAAAAAATTAAAAAAAAATAAAAAAAAAATAAAAAAAGTTACCAAAGATATTTCGAATGCATAATTCCCACCCAGGAAGTATATAAAGAAAAGCTTCTAGAAACCTGCTAAACACTAACACATTATATTCCAGTTATGGGGGGAAAAGTCCAGCTAATGAAGGAATGGTGGGAGACAAGTGTTTCTGAAGCCTGTTCAAATCCAACTTGTATGTTCATTTTTATATGTGTATATATTTATATATACACTCATATATATGTATGCTTTCTAATTAAAGTATCTTTTTGCTACTACAAAAATTATTTTTTAACTATTTTCCCTGTAGCTAGAAAAATGTAGTACACATACATAGAACTAACCTAGAGCCTATGAACAATTGGTTCCCAGCATTGGACCAAACACCACACATCTGGAATCCAGGAAGTAGCTTACAGAGCCAGCCACTTCTCAGTGTTTGTGAAGAAAGCAAGTTATCAATTTATTCTCTCAGTATATGGTCAACAACTGAAGATACAGAAGGGAAGAGACCATAGATACTCACTAAATCTCTTTCAAATAATTTTGCCTCTCTTTTGCAGGTGACTGAAATATGGAAGACGGAGATGGATTTTTATTCAAATTTAAAGGATATTATTTTTATCGCAAAGGAATTGATATTGACTTTATAGAAAACTTAGATAATTTTGAAATCAGAGAAGATGATGTCTTCATAATCACTTACCCTAAATCTGGTTAGTTCTATATTCTAATAGCTAATCTAAGAAATCAGATGATACTTTAATAATGTGGGAACTGTCTTTTTAGTAGTATTCTATATGGATATATACACTTCTTCTACTAGATATCATGGTGTATTGAATTTAATATCCTATGAAATAAGGTCTTTTACAATGTAGCTACAAGTAATTTTTGTTTTGTTTTTTTTTATTTTATTTATTTATTCATGAGAGACAGAGAGAGAGGCAGAGACATAGGTGGAGGGAGAAGCAGGCTCCTCACAGGGAGCCCGATGTGGGACTCAATCCTGGAACCCCGGGATCGCACCCTGAGCCAGAGACAGACACTCAACCGCTGAGCCACCCAGGCGTCCCTACAAGTTATTTTTGATGTAGACAAAGAAATGGAGAAAATATTGAAGTAGATATTTTAAAGACACCCTATCAAACACTAAATTGCTAAATTGGGCTGGGAAGGCTGCAGAAATATTTATCATTTAGAAAGTTGGGCAGCCCGGGTGGCTCAGCGGTTTAGCGCTGCCTTCAGTCCAGGGCGTGATCCTGGAGACCCAGGATCAAGTCCCACATGGGCTCCCTGCATGGAGCCTGCTTCTCTCTCTGCCTGTGTGTGTGTGTGTGTGTGTGTGTGTGTGTCTGTGTGTCTGTGTCTCTCATGAATACATAGATAAAAATCTTAAAAAAAAAAAAGAAAGCTACCTTGAAGTATAGTTGAAGTTGTATTTAATAACCAAGTGCATGAGAAGGAGGAAATTTAATTTATACTAATTATCACAGTGTGTAATAATACTCAATTATTTGGGTCTTATTTTGCTAGAGCACTCAGAAAGGACCAAAACATACATACATGTATACAATGCATATATACATAAATGTGTGTGTATATACATGCATGTCTATTCAAGTCCTTTATCCATGTTTTAAGTGGGTTTCTGTAATCTTTATTATTGTGTTATATGACTTGTTAATATATTTTGGATATTAACCCCTTATTTGATAAATGACTTACAAATATTTTTTTCCTTTTAATTTAATTCCTTTAATTAAAGGAATCCTTTAATTCCTTTTATTTTTCTTCTTGTTGATAGCTTTCTTTGCTGTACAGAAATGTTTTTTGAGTTAGGCTCAAAAGATGGACACATTAAAGATGTGTATTAGAAAAATATATAATTAGCACATTAAATCTGTGGTTTCATGAATATCACTACTTTGGATAAAAGTGAAATCAATAACAATGTTACACCTAAGACTATGTCAAGAAAAATATTGAGTAAATAGTACAGGAGGGCAAGTTGGAAGTGTCTATTCAAAACAAAAATATAAATAGCTGAGGACTCTGCAATTGAACTTCTGGGAAACAACCCTGAGTAAATATATATATATATATATACACGCACACAAACACACACACACCAACATACACACACACATAATCTTCCAATGTGGCGATTTGTAATAGCAAAAGTAGAAAACAGTCTTAACTAGCCAGCACAAAAGAAACAGGTAAGACGTGATAGAGTCATATGATGACACTCAATATGGCAGTTACAAAGGATGAGTTGAACCTACTTTAGGAAAAACAGCATGCATAGACCTCAAAAATATTGTTAAGCAAAGAAAGCAAATTGCAGGACTCAATATAACATTTGGATTAAACACACAATAATGTTTTCAAATTACTCATATATGTAAAAGTCTTAAAAAGAATTTAGATGGACATACAGCAAACATAATAGCATATTAGAGAGGGAAGGCAATGATAGTCAAATGAGGCTAGCTTTACTTATAAATCTAATTTCTTAGAGAATGGATTTATGTGTCACTTGAATAGTTAGAACTGATTTCACATTTGAAAAACAAAAATGTAGTATACAATCAGGACAAAGTGATGGTCTGACAGTGCGTGAACAAGTAAAGGCTGACCTCATGGCTGCAGGCTGTGCTGCCTCTGCACAGTTCCTGCAGCTGACACAGTTAGTTCCCAAAAAGATCTTCATACACATTTGGCCTGGATGTGCTCCAGGCTATCTCTCTCCGACTTCCTTACCACCCAAGTTGGGGCCCAGGCACCTGGATACCATACATGTTTGAAGCTGTAGGCTTCTTCACACCTTTCACCATCCAGGTAAATCCCATTGGTGCCCTGGAACTTTCTCAATAACCAAGACATTTAGCATCTCCCAGATTTGGAGGCTCCTTCTGTCCCCAGCAATTGGGATCAGAGCTCTCAGGGGTCCAGGGATGAGAAGGCTTGTATTCTGATGGGTTAGCACCTACTGGGCTCCAAGCAGGGATAAGATCCTCAGTGAGGAGCTTGACATCATTAAACCCTATGGGGTAGGTCATATTGTTAGCCCCATTTTACAGATGAGAAAACTGAGGCATAGAAAGGTCAAATGACTTGCCCAACATCAAACTAGTGAATGATTAATAAAAGGGACTAGAAACCACAACTGTCTGTCCTCAGAGCCCAACCAAATCCTACCAGTTTGTCAAGATTCAGCTCAGGAAGCCTGGAGGTGATCATCCTCTTCTCATCCTTCTCATTCTTCTTCTTCAAAGTATGCATAAATATGATTCAGCTGACTGTGGGAAACAATGAACCCACTGCATCTCCTCAGTAGTAGGGTAGAGATCATGTCTGATTCTGCTCTATATTTCTAGAACAGAGCCTGACAAATAGAGGGTGCTCAATATATGTCTGATGAATGCACAAATATATGAAAACACGAATGAGTGATTAAGGGCAATTTTGTCTGACTGATTCCTATGAGGTCCTTGATACCTTTGCCCAGGTGTGGGGTGCTGTAATACTGAGCTCTCTTGGAATTAAATTCAGCCTAGGATCCTTCTAAAATGAGTCTCCAATATCTTTATGATTTTACAAACACACCCATATGTAAACATATGGACTAATATATACACACGCACATACTCCACACAAACAAGATGCAAGGGGTCTGACCCATGATTATGGGTGATGAGCAGGAGGTCTTGGAGGGGGCTAGGAGTGAGCAGGAATGGACAGATGGCCCTGTTCAGCTCAGATGAGCTCAGCACCTCATTGCAAAGGCCAAGGTGCTCACTGTAGCTCAGGAATTTTTGCCCCAGAGCTAACATCACCTCAATTCTACTTGGTACTTGAAAGCAGTGCCTGAATCCCATGACTCTACCAAACAGGGACAAGAAATAGGGGAATGTTAGGGGCCAAATATTCAGAGATTGGGAGAGGGGCAGCTTAGGGATCCAGACAGAGCAGGAGGGCAGGAGGGCAGAAGTACTGCTACCGCTCATTGGACTTGGGGTTGGCATCTGAGTACTTAGTGAGATCGAAGGTTAGGATTCTGCTGCTCACACAGTTCCCTTACTCAGGGCAGACTCCCATGAGGCTCTGAGTCTTGGTGTAGAACTCCTCCTTGAGAGAGATGACAATGGCCTGGAAGTTGCAACTTGATTGCTCCTTGATATAATTTGCTACCTTGCCAATGTCACTGCTCTCCAGGGCAGCATCGATCTCATCCAGGATGAAAAAGGGGGCTGGCTTCTAGCTGTGAATGGCAGTGAGCAAGCCAGAGCTGCCACTCTTCTCCCCCCTCAACAAGTTCACCATAGACCAGAAGCATTTGCCAGGAGCCATCAGTTGTAACTGATGCCATCCAAGTAGGGTTCCTAAGGGTTCTCAGGGCCCAGGAATGCCTGGGCACTGTTGTCAAGGGATATGGCCTCATCGATCTCATCAGTGTTGGTGGCCACAGATTCAAAACAAGCGTTGAAATGGTCAAAGTGCTCCTTCTTGATCTGTTTGAATCCCTGCTTGGCTCTCTTGGCTTGCTTTTCAGTCTTCTCCCAGCTTATCTGAGGTCTCCTGTAACTTGCCTTGGACACTTTCCAGCTTTTCTATGGCTTTCATGTTAGGGGTAGCGATATGCTGGAGTATACACTCTGTTGCTTATTCAGCTTCTGCTGCAGTGTATTCATCTCCTGTTTGATCTCCTCAGCCTGGGTACCCTTCAGATCTTCACACAGCTCACCATAGTCAATCTCAGTGTGGGCCTCTCATGCAGAGACACTGGAAGTTCACTGGGAACCACTCACTGAATCCTCACCCTGAGAGCTACCCTCTCCCTGACTAATGTCATCCATAGTGCTCTTAGACAGGGGTAACTTGATATCCTAGATCTTGCAAGTCTGTAGCACGTTGTGGCAGTCACTGCGTTTCTTTCTTTTTTTTTTAAGATTTTTTTAAAAAAGATTTATTTATTTATGACAGAGAGAGAGAGAGAGAGGCAGTGACACAGGTAGAGGAATAAGTAGGCTCCGCGCCGGGAGCCCGGCGCGGGACTTGATCCCGGGACTCCAGGATCGTGCCCTGGGCCAAAGGCAGGAGCCAAACCTGCTGAGCCACCCAGAGATTCCCCCCCCCCCCGTCACTGTGTTTCTGTTCAAGCTTGGTCCCAATGGCTGTTACTTCCTTCTGTAAATGGGTCATTTCTTCGTTGGTGTCCCAGTTTCTTACGAATCTCCCCCATCTCACCTCAGATCTCTTAATCAGATGCTGATTCTTCAGGTCCTGTAGCTGGGCCATGGCCTCATCCATGGTCTTTATGTGTCTTTGCTCTTCCTTCTTGAGCTCTTCTATCTCCTTTTCATCCTTTTTCACAGCCTTTTCCCACATGTTATACAGAAGCTTTTTAGTTGATGTTAATGTTATCCTACTTGCTTATTTTTTGCTTTTGTTGCATTTGTTTATACTGTCATATCCAACTCCCATAAAAAAGTCGTTGCTAAGAGCAATGTTTTCCAATAAGAGTTTTATGCTCCAGGTCTTACATTCATGTCGTTAATCTGTTTTGAATTAATGTGTGTAGTGTGAGAGAGTGGTCCAGTTTCATGCTTTTGTATTTGGCTGTCTAACTTTTCCAACACCATTTGTCCGCATTGTATATTTTGGGCTCCTTTGCCATCAGTTAAGTGACAATGTGTTGGTTTATTTCTGGGACCTCTCTATTGTTCTATTTATCAATGTGTCTTTTTAAATGCCATACCATGCTGTTTTGATATTATAACTTTGTAATATTATTTGAAACCTAGAAGTGTAATGCTTCAGGCTTTGTTCTCTTTTCTCAAAATTACTTCGTCTATTTGGGGTCTTGTTTACTTACAAACGAATTTTGGAATGGTTTGTCCTATTGTGAAAAATGCCATGGTAACATTCATAGGTATTGCATTGAATCTGTAGATTGCTTTTTATAGTATAGACCTTTTTTTGAAGATTTTTATTTATTTATTCATGAGAGACACACACAGAGAGAGAGGCAGAGACACAGGCAGAAGGTGAAGCAGGCTCCCTGCAGGGAGCCCTACGTGGGACTCCATCCCAGGTCTCCAGGGTCAGGCCCTGGACTGAAGGTGGTGCTAAACTGCTGAGCCACCCCACCTGGGCTGCCCCTAGTATAGATATTTTAACAACGTTGTTTATTCTAATCCATGAGCATAGAATGTGTTTTATTTGTGTTTTCTTCAATTTATCAGTGTCTTACGGTTTTCAATGTACAAGTCTTTCACCTCCTTGAATATATTTATTCTTACATATTTTATTCTTTTTCATGCTATCATAAATGGGATGTTTCTGTTTCTTTTTCTTTCTTTTTTTTTTTTTTTTTTTTTTTTTACCAGTCAGCTTTTATTGGATATTAATTGTGAATTAGGCAGTGGAAGGATTCAGGGATGCCAGGCAAAAGTCATGGTCAGGAATGCCAAATGTGCTTTCACACTGGGCCCTCTTCAGTGGTACTTGTGAAGCCGTTCATGTGTGAGCTCCTTGTAAGAACGACAGTAGTTGAAAAGCACATAAGCAACCAGTACCATAGAAATCCCAGCAACGCCCCCTTCCTTCACATTGATATACTTGTGGTAATACCGGTAGTAACCTCTTTGAAATGCTCCAGCAATGCCCTTAGGGGTGAAGTCCCGCATCAGTATCCAGCCTGGCAGCTCTCCTACTTTCACCTCCATGAGCTTCTTTTCTTTCACTGGTATGGATGACGCCATGAGTCCTCAAATGGGATGTTTCTTAATTTCTCTTTCTGATAGTTTGTTATAATTGTGTTGAAATGCAACTTATATTTATATCCTGATTTCATATCCTGCAAATAAAAAATTCAAATGGATTGTTTATTAGTCTTAAAAGTATTTTTGAGAGAGTCGTTAGGGCTAGCTATATACAATATCATTATCATCTACACAGAGAGATAGTTTTATACTTCATTTGCAATTTGGATGTATTTTCTTTCTTTCTTTTTTTTTTTTTTGCCTAATTGCTCTCTTAGGATTTCCACAAAAACTACTGAGAATGGGCATCTTGATCCTGGTTTGATCTTAGATGAAAGATTTCTGTTGTTCAACATTGGATATAATGGTACCTGTGAGCTTGTCATAAATGGCATTTTGTAAGCTGACATATGTCCTTCCATACCCATTCTGTTGAGACTTTTTGTCATGAATGGATGTTCAATTTTCTCAAATACTTTTTCTGCATCAATTGGATGATAATGAAGTTTTCATGGTTCATTTTGTTGATGTGGTATATCATCCTGATTTGTGGATGTCGACTCATCCTTGTATCTCTGGAATAAAGAGTACCTGAGAATGGTATATGGTTCTTTGAATGTATTTTGTTTTAATTTAATGTTTTTATTTAAATTCTAGTTAGTTAACAGATACTGTAATGTTAGTTTCAAGAGTAGAATTTAGTGATGTCCCCTCACATGACCCTTAGTGCTCATCACAATACGTACCTTAATACCCACCACCCATTTAACCCATTCTTCCTCTACGTTCCCTCCAGTAGCCCTCAGTTTGTTCTCTGTAGTTAAGAGACTGTTTTATGGCTTGCCTCTCTCCCTTTTCCCCCCTCTATGTTAATCTATTTTGTCTTTTAAATTCCACAATATGAGTGAAATCATATGATATTTATCTTTCTCTGACTTATTTTGCTTAGCATAATACACTCTAGCTCCATCCGCATTGTTGCAAATGGCAAGGTTTTATTGTTTTTGATGGCTGAGGAATATTGCATTATATATATATATATATATATATATATATATATATATATATATATATTACATCTTCTTTATGCATTCATCAGTTAATAGACGTTTGGGCTCTTTGCATCATATGGCTATTGTTGATAATGCTGCTATGAACATGGGAGAGCATGTATCCTTTTATTTCAGGATTTTTGTATCCTTTTGGTAAATACCTGGTAGTGCAATTGCTGGGCTATAGGGTAGTTCTATTTTTACCTTTTTGAGGAATTTCCATACTGTTTTCCAGAGTGACTACACCAGTTTGCATTCCCACCAATGTTGCAAGAGTGCCCTCTTTTTCTGCATCATTGCCAACATATATTGTGTCCTATGTTGTTAATTTCAGCCATTCTGATAGGTGTGTGGTATTATCTCATTGTGGTTTTGATTTGTAATTCCCTGATGCTGAGTGATTTGGGGCATCTTTTCATGTGTCTGTTAGCCATCTAGATGTCTTCTTTGGAATAATATTTATTCATGTCTTTTGCCCATTTCTTGACTGGATTATGTGTTCTTTGGCTGTTGAGTCTGATAAGTTCTTTATAGATTTTGGATGCTAACCCTTTATTGTATATGTAATTTGCATAAATCTTCTCTTGTTCTGAAAGTTGCCTTTTAGTTTTGTTGACTGTTTCCTTCACTGTGCAGAAATATTTTATCTTGATGACATCCCTATAATTCAGTTTTGCTTTTGTTTCCCTTGCCTCCAGAGACACATGTAGTAAGAAGTTGTCTTGACTGATGTCAAAAAGGTTTCTGTCTTTGTTCTCCTCTAGGATTTTGAAGGTTTCCTGTTTCAAATTTAGGTCTTTCATCCATTTGAATTTATTTTTGTGTATAGTGTAAGAAAGGGTCCAGTTTTATTCTTCTGCATGTGGCTGTTCGGTTTTCTCAGCACTATTTGTTGAAGAGACTATCCGATTGTCTTTTTTCTGTTGGATGTTCTTTCTTGTTAGGTTGAAGATTAGTTGACTGTATAGTTGTGAGTCCATTTCTGGATGTTCTGTTCTGTTCTATTGATCTATGTATCTGTTTTTGTGTTGGTACCATATTCTCTTGATCATTACAGCTTTATAATATAACTTGCCATCCAGAATTGTGATCTCTCCAGGTTTGTTTTCCTTTTTCAAGATGACTTTGGTTGTTTGGGATCTTTTGTGGTTCCATACAAATTTTAGGATTGTTTGTTCTGGCTCTGTGAAAAATGCTGTGGTATTATTTATGTATTGCATTGAATGTGTAGATTGTTTTGGGTAGTATAGACATTTTAACTATATATATTCTTCCCATCCACGAACGTGGAATATTTTTCCATTTCTTTGTGTCTTAGTTTTTAGCACACAAGTCTTTTACCTCTTTAGCTAGGTTTATTCCTAGGTATCTTACTGATTTTGGTGCAATTGAAAATGGAATAGATTCCTTGATTTCTCTTTCTGCTGCTTCATATTTGGTGTATAGAAATAGAAATGCTGATTTCTATGGTGTATAGAAATGTTGATCTTGCATCCTGTGACTTTACTGAATTTGTGTATCAGTTTTACCAACCTTTTGGTGGAGCCTTTTGGGTTTTCTACATAGAATATCATTTTGTCTGTGAAGATTGAAAATTTGACTTCTTTGGTGATTTGGATGCCTTTTATAACTTTTTGTCATCTGATTACCAAGGCTAGGACTTCTAGTACTATGTTAAGTAACAATGGTGAGAGTGAGAATCCCTGTTGTGTTCCTGACCTTAGAGGAAAGCTCTCAATTTTTCCCCTTTGAGGATGATATTAGCTGTGGGTTTTTTATATGTCATTTATAATGTTGAGGTATTTTCCATCTATCCTTACCTTGTTGAAGGTTTTTATCCAGAATTGATGCTGCATTTTGTCAGATACTTTTCTGCATCTATTGAGAGATCATGTGATTCTTTCTCTTTCTTTTATTAATGTGGTGTATCACATTGATTGATTTGCAAATATTGAACCACTTTTGCAGCCCATGAATAAATCTCACTTGATCATAGTGAATGATTCTTTTAACGTACTCTTGGATTCAATTCACTAGCATTTTGTTGAGAATTTTTACATCCATGTTCCTTAGGGATATTGGCCTATATTCTCTTTTTTAGTGGGGTCTTTGTCTGGTTTTGGAATCAAGGTAATGCTGGCCTAGTGGAATGAGTTTGGAAGTTTTCTTTCCATTCCTATTTTTGGAATAGTTTGAGAAGAATAGGTAAGTAATCCTTCTTTAAATATTTGGTTGAATTTCTTTGGGAAGTCATTTAGCCCTGGACTTTTGTTTCTCTTCTCAAGCAGAGTTTTGCTTACTGATTCAATTTCTTTAGTCTGTTCAAATTTTCTATTTCTTCTTGCTTCAGTTTTGGTAGTTTTTATGTTTCTAGGAATGTATCCATTTCTTCCTGATTACCTAATTTGTTGGCATATAATTTTTCATAATATTGTCTTATAATATGTTTGTAATTCTGTGGTGTTGGTTGTGATGTCACCTCTCATTTCTGATTTTATTTATTTAGGTCCTTTATCTCTCTCTCTCGATAACTCTGGTTAGTGCTTTATCAATTTTATTAATTCTCTCAAGGGACTAGCTCCTGGTTTCATTGATTTGTTCTAGTGAGGTTTTTGTTTGTTTCTATATCATTTATTTCTTCTCTAATCTCTATTTTTTTCCCTTCTTCTGTTGGCTTTAGGATTCATTTGTTGTTCTTTTTCTATCTATGCTTTAGGGGTTAGGTTATATTGTGTATTTGAGATTTTTCTTGCTTCTTGATGTAGTTCTGTACTGCTGTATACTTCACTCTTGTCTGTTCTTGCTGGATCCTAAAGATTTTGGACTCTCCTGTTTTCAATATCATTTGTTTCCATGTACTTTTTATTTATTCTGTAATTTCCTGGTTGACCCATTCATTTTTTAGTAGAATGATCTTTAACCTCCATGTGCAGTGGTCTTTGCAAATTTTTTCCTGTGGTTGACTTCAAGTTTCATGATATTGTGGTCAGAAAATATTCATGGTATGGTTTCACTCTTTTTGTACTTAATAAGCCTGGTTTATGACCTATTATGTGATCTATTCTGGAGAATGTCCCATGTGCACTCAACAAGAATGTGTATTCTGGTGCTTTAGGATGAAATATTCTGTATCTGTTAACTTCATCTGGTCCAATGTGTCATTGTTTCCTTGTTGATTTTCTGTTTAAATAATCTATCCATTGATGTAAGTGATGTGTTAAAGTCTCCTATTGCTGTTATATTATCATTGATGAGTTCCTTTGTGTTTATTATTAAATGTTTTATATATTTGGGAGCTCTAGGTTGGGGGCATAAATATTTATAATTGCTTGATCTTTTTCTTGGATAAAACCCTTTATAATATCGTGCCTTTTTAAATCTCCTTTTACAGTCTTTGATTTAAATCTACTTCTGATAGAAGTATAGCTACTCTGCTTTCCTTTTGACATTTGTTTGCATGATGAATGTTCTCTCTCCCTTCACTTTCAATCTGCAGGTGTCTTTAGATCTAAATGAGTGTCTTGTTGGCAGCATATACATGGGTCTCGCTTTTTTATCCATACTGACACCCTTTATCTTTTGACTGGAGCATTTAGTCCATTTACATAGAAAGTAATTATTGACAGATATGAATTTAGTGTCACTTTATTACTTATATCAGTGTTGTTTCTGGAGATTTTCTCTGTTCCTTTCTAGTCCATGTTTGCTTTTGGTTTTTCTTTCCCATTCATTGAGTCACGTTCATATTTCTCACAGAGCTGGGTAGTGGTCACAAACTCCTTAGTTTTTGTCGGTCTGGAAAATACTTTTTATCTCTCCTTCTATTGTGAATGAAAGCCTTGTCGGATAGAGAATTCTAGGCAGCATATTTTTCCCCTCCAGCACATTGAATATATCATATCACTCTCTTCTGGTGTGCTAAGTTTCTGTGGAGAGATCTGCTGCTGA